TATTCAGTTTCGGTGCGGCTGAAACCATAAATCAAAACATTTTTCTATAAAAACACAATCTTACTCATAATAATAAGTTCCGCGCGCGTAGATTTGATGCCACCTTTATTTACCGCCCTACACACGTATTCATCGGCGTCTTCGCCGAATACATCGTGTATCACAAGGCGCTGTACTTCACCTTCGCTATAAATATGATAACGAGCGCCATTACCGATTTCTCTAGCTCCCTTGTACCAAGTAATTGTCGGTTTGGGCACACCGGTAATTGTGCATTGGAATTCCGCGTTATGGTGCTGAATACAGTTCGCGTTCTTAAGCGGTTTGATTATTTCTGGTGGCGTTGCTGTGAGTGGATCCACTATTTTGACGGACGTAGACGCAGTCGATGGAGGCGAAATACCGGCAATATTCTGAGCGAATACCCTAAACTCGTACTGGCGGCCTTCGATCAAGTTTGGAATACTAATTTGAGGCGCCGGACAGAGCGAGGGGTTGACACGTTGCCAGGTGTAGCTATCTACCTCTCGTTTCTCTATCCAGTAGCCTTCGATTCGGGAACCACCGTCTGATTCTGGTTTGGTCCATTCTAGGTGGACGAAATCGCCTCCTATTTCAGTCACTTTTGGAATTCCAGGTGCGGATGGTGGATCAAATGGCGCTTTAGCTTTTATTGGGTTGGTACCTTCCAGCGGTGGTCCCATTCCGTTATCGTTTACAGCCATTACCCTAAACAGGTACTCTTGGCCTTCCGTTAGACCCTGTACCATAAAGGAGGTGTCTTTACATGAGCTCGAAATCACAATCCAGTGGTTGTGGGTAACGTCTTTACGTTCTACGACATAGTGGGTTACTCTTAAGCCTCCATCGTAGCTAGGAGGCTTCCAACGTAGTAAGCAGGTGTGTTTAGTAATATCGGAGGTTTCCAATGGTCCGTTCGGCTTACCCGGAAGGCCAGTAATGAACATGTTGAAGCTACCTGAAGCACTTCCGCTATCATTTTTAACTGTTAGATTATATGTTCCGGCATCGTCTCGTTTGATATCCTTCATGAAGATAATGATGTAGTCGTCGAATACGGTGTATCGTATGTGAGGTGATGCATCAAGTGATCTACCGTCTTTTGTAAGAATGACATCGAGCGGTTGATCACCAGAGTAATAAATTTTAATCTTAGTGTTATCTCCTTCTGGTAAGTGAAGATCTCCAGGAATACGGTCAATCCTTGGTGGAGCTAAATAAAGATTGCCATTGTAAGATACTAATTTTACTACGGTGCTATACTTACTTCCAATTTTCAGACGTGCGGTAGTTGTAGTAGATCCAACTGAGTTACTAGCCTCGCAAGTATAATCTCCTTCGTCAATGTCCAACACTTCCGATATATGCAACCAGCTAGTACCCCCTTTTGTTTCCAATCTGAAGCGCGCACCTAGTGTAAGTTCACGCCCGTTCTTTAACCAACGGAATGTTGGTGATGGTTTTCCAGTTGCCGCACATTCCAGTGAGTGGGCCTTTCCAAGTGGAACAGACTGGTTGGCAAGTTGCTTGATCCATTGCGGTTTTTCTCCATCGGCAACTTCGCAAACTTTAACTGGCGAAGTACATGCGCTGGGATCACTTCTTCCAACAGAATTGATGGCGAATATCCTGAATTCGAAATCGGAACGTTCGGTAAGGTTGATTACGGTGTAATTCGTATCGGTGATGTTATAGGAGTTACAGACTGCCCATATTGGGCTTCCGATCTCGCGTTTTTCAATAACGTATCCAGTAATACGAGCCCCACCGTCGTTGGTAGGCGGTTCCCAGGTTAAATCAACATAGTTCTTGCCCACTTTAACAACTTTCGGGTTATTGGGTGGCGAAGGAACATTGAATTTGCCTTTTAGTTTGAATTTGGTCGACGAAGCAGAAGGCTTGCTAAAGCCTGCGGCGTTCTTCGCCCGAACTCTGAACTCATATTCGTGACCACTGGTCATATTGTATAGTATGAATCTGTTGTCTTTTATTAAATAGTCGCTGGCGTTCTGCCAGTTGACGTCGTCGGCAACGTCGCGGTATTCAAGTTTGTAACCTTGGATGCGAGACCCTCCATCGTTGTGTGGACGGTCCCAGGCGAGAGTGATGGAGCTCGCGTCGTAGTCCGTTACACGTGGAGCTCCTGGAGGATCGGGAGCCGTGAATGGGAATTTAGCGGTGATTGGTTCGGTAGTCTCCAAAGGTTCGCTGATACCGTATTGATTCTCTGCTCGTACTCTGAAGCTGTACCGTTTGTTGCTTTCCAATCCCATAACGTCGTAATGCGTATTTCTAACGAAACTGCTGACCTTTGACCATATCTACGACAAAACAATTAATATCACATTAGCTGATGGTCGCATGGCATTTCCTTACTCCGCTTGGTTCCAGTTTCTCAACAATATAGTTTGTAATTGGTGACCCGCCATCATCTAGTGGTGGTCTCCAGGCTAGAGAACAATTGTCGGGTGTAATGTCGGAAACATCCAATGGTCCTTGTGGAGGCTGTGGCTTGTCAACCACTTGAACTCTACAGGTGGCCGAATCAGATCCCACACTGTTAGTTAGCTTGATCGTGTAATTTCCGGCATCGGAACGTTTAGCGCATTTGTTATGGAATACGGACGCAATGTCGTTGGTGTCAATTTTGATACGATTATCCGGCACAAATTCGTTTCCGTTCACCGACCACGACGCATTTGGTTTTGGTGTGGCGGTGTACGGTACGGAAATGGTAAATTCCTCACCAGCCACCACTATAATGTCACGTATGCTAAGATCGGAGGTTATCTTCGGTGCACTTGGAGGAGCTCTACACACGATCATGTCTGAAGAGGCACTCCAGGGTCCCTGCCCAGCGGCATTCACTGCTGCTACTCGGAATTCATACTCGTAGTTCTCAATTAAGCCACCAACCCTACAAATCGATCTTAGTATTTATTTTGTCACCAAACATTGCTTACTTATGAGAGAGGTCTGGTACAAGGGCATGGGAAGCCTTAGTCCACTTTTCTTCAGATATCAATCGCTTTTCTATTACATATCCAGTAATGGGCGATCCTCCATCGTGGCGTGGTTTCGTCCATTGAATTGTAATGGAATCTTCGGTGGTCTCTATACCTCGTGGGGAACCAGGTGCACCAGGTGGATCTAAAAACGGTTTGTTGCAACACATAACTACTAAACAGAAGTACCTACCAAATGGATGTCTGGCCCGTATTGGCTCAGTCGTAACCGCCGGCTCAGATTGCCCATACAGATTTTCCGCAATTACTCTAAATTCGTAATCATGTCCCAAGTTTAAGTTTCTAATTCGGACAAACGGCACTGTAACATAGCTGCTGACTTTAGTCCAATTGGGAGTTCTAGCTTCCTTCTTTTCGACAATGTAATTAGTAATTTCGGCCCCACCGTTATCCTTAGGCGGCTGCCAGTACAAAGTGAGGGCGTCACCGGCAAACTCATCCGCTCTCAGATTTTCTGGTTTGCCTGGACGATCTAATACTTTAACATTTAAGGTGGCGGTATCGAAACCGGATGGATTCTTTAACTGAAGTCTGTACTGTCCAGTATCTCCCCTCTTGGCGTTTTTAACTATAATGCTCGCGGAATCATCGGCAAGCTTAGGGAAAATTCTGCTATCCGACTCATCCAAAAGTTTATCATTTGCAAACCAACTGGCCGTTGGTTTCGGGAATCCAACGTAAGGTACGTGGATGCTAAAGTCTTCGCCAGCTTTGACTACGATATCACGTACCCCACCCAAATCAATACAAGGTTTGTTAGGCTGTTCCTCGACCAAAATGTTTGGACTTGGCCTGCTCGGTTCCGACGGACCTACATCATTAACAGCAATCACTCTGAACTGGTACTCTTGACCCTCCTTCAAGTTTGGTGCCGTGTAAATATTCGCAGGAGTTGGGATGGAATTAACATCTGTCCAATCTGGTTCTCCTTTGGCTTTTTGTTGTAATATGTATCCCTTCAATTTTGATCCTCCGTCGCTTCTCGGTGGTCTCCACGATAACGTAACGCTGTCCTTTGTAATGCGGTCTGGTTTTGGTGGATCGGGAGCATCGGGTTTAACTGTGAACACTCAAATGTAACCTTAGTTTACCTGAAGAGCAGGCTTACATCTTTGATGTCCAGCTGTAATTGGTTCCGATGGCTTGCTAGGTTGTCCAGGACCAGCTTCATTCACCGCGATAACCCTAAATTCGTATTTGTTACCTTCGCGTAAATCTTGGACGGTGTACGATGTGTTAGGTGTGGGATAATTATTGACTTTAATCCATTCGCCGCCTCTTTCTCTTTTTTCAACATTGTAACCAGTGATTGGTTTGCCGCCGGTGTGAGCTGGTGGAGTCCACTTTATTGAACAAGTGGAAGGTGTGTAACCTGTAACTTCCGGTTGTCCTGGCGCGTCTGGAGGATCGAACGGACTCTTGGCTACCACTGGTTTGCCTTCGAGTGGTTCTGACACACCGTAGATATTTTCGGCTCTTACTCTGAACACATACTTTTTGCCTTCTGTTAAACCGCGCACGGTAAATGATGGTTTGGGGCAATAACCAGGGACTGGTCTCCAACTGTCAGAGCCGAACTCGCTCACTTCTACTATGTAGCCGGTAATATCGCCTCCGCCGTCGTCACTGGGCGGGTTCCAAGATAACGACACGGAATCTTGGGTCGTGGCAGTGTACTGTAGCGGACCTTTGGGCATTCCAGGTTTGTCCACTACCGTTACTTCTATGTCTGCTTGATCAGTACCGTACTCATTTTCAGCGTGCACAGTATACTTTCCAGTGTCGTCGCGATTCGACGCTTCAATGCGGAATACTGTGTGTTCGCTGGTTGTTTCGTGCTAAAACGCAGAAAATGAAATGTTTACCTCAGGATCATTTTACGTACCGATACTCTATTGGATTGCGTAGTGGGAGTGCCGTTCTTTGACCACGTGACTTTGGGTGTTGGGGAACCTGACATTGGGATGTCAATGTTTACCGGTTCTCCGGCGCGTACCTTAATTTTGCGACCAATTAAATGATCCAACCACAACTTCGGTTTTTCTAAAATTGCCCAATCAGGCGCGTACGGAATTACACCAACCTACCTTTCATCGGTTTTGCTGTAAACACGTTCGAAGCCTCGCTTGGTTTACCTGCTCCCGCAGCATTTACCGCCGATACCCTGTACTCGTATTGGTGTCCATCTTGAACACGGTCATCGTAATACTCAAGATGTGGGGTCGGCGCCTTGTTGAGTTTTACCCAACGGCCGGTTGCCCGATCTCGCCTTTCAACGTCATAACCCACAATCGGCGACCCACCATTGCTAATTGGAGCGGTCCACTTAATTTTAATATGATCTTTGTCGCTGTCCACGAGTTCTGGTTTACCTGGTTTACCAGGCACATCTATAGGTATATAAAATTATGAAATTGAATCGACTACTTTATCTTACACAATTACCATATTGATTTTTAGCCACCACGGGTTTATCAGTTTCCAATGGATCTGATCGACCCTGCAAATTTTCAGCGAACACTCTAAATTCATATTTGGTTCCCTCGATCAACCGGGGGACGATTGCGTGGTTATATTTTGGATTCACATAGTTCACCGCAGGAACCCAACCACCGCCGTGAGTTAAATCTCGCTTTTCAATTACATAAGCACTGCAATAAAATTATGTAATATTCTACTTTGGTTACCAAAACTACGGTCTGGACCTCATATAAGGGAATTTGGGGGGTATTTTACAACAGTTTCTGAGACTTTGGTATGTTGGTTGTTGATGGTCAATGGTGAGTTATTCGATGAATTAACAAAGAAAAACCCTGTGCTACTTTAAACTCCTAAATTATGCATATTTAGTCCAACGCGTTTATGTACACACAGTGGTAGATTCTTCCAATTTCACTCACTGCCAAACTTGTTTTTTGTTGCTTTATGGGTGCCAAAAATTTCCCAAAATGGTACTACTGGTTTTCGTGATGATCATTATAATAAATGTCTACTACGTGTCCATGTACACTTCTAAAAGCAACGTTTATTTCGACCACGAATGTGTGAATTCACCAGAGCCGAACCTTTATGAAGACGCAGACCAGTCTATTTGCCATTTTGGAAAATTTTGTTTTTTTTAACGTCAACAAATAAGTTTAACCAGTGAAAATTGAAGCTCTACGTGTGGCACACCACCGCAAAATAAACATATTTCACACTTGACGACCGGTTGACTACTTACGTAATTTCGCTGCCTCCGTTATCAGTTGGTGGTTTCCACGATAGTGTGATACTTTGAGCTGTGATCTCTTCGTAAGTAAGTGGGCCTTTTGGTGGACCAGGACGATCTACAATATCACGGTTAGTTAAAGAATTTGAGATGTGGTTTGCTCACCTAAAACAATGACTTGGAAAGAACCTTCATCTGAACCGGAATTGTTTCGCAACGATAAGTGGTACACTCCACTATCTGATCTTCGGGCGTTAACCGTGTGAATTACAGTGTGATGGCCGATGGATGTAACGGTAGTGCGTTCGTTGGCGGTAAGCGGGTGGTTGTCAGCGGTCCACCGTACCTCTGGAGTTGGTTCACCAATGAAATCAACATCCACGTGCAAAATGAGTCCAGCTTTAATGCGTATATCGTTAAGGGGTGTCTTAATTTTGGGGGCAACTGAAAGTGTAACCAATTAAAATTTACGAATTTCTTAAAATGCGCTTACGATATCTAGCTTTTGCTGTAACCAGATCGGATGGTTCCGAAGGTTCACTCTGACCAGCGTTGTTGGTTGCAACAACTCTAAATTCGTATTCTTGTCCCTCGGTAAGATCTGGTACTGTAGCTGTAGTTTTCTTCGCAGGAACGGTTGCGGCATTAATCCAGTACGGGCTGCCTTTTTCTTTCTTTTGTATAATGTAGCTGGTAACGGGAGACCCTCCATCATTCTTGGGAGGTGTCCATTCGAGGTCAACGCGATCTTTATCCCAGTCGGTAACAGCCGGTTTTCCTGGCGCACTTGGCTCATCTATTGGAGGTTTACATCAATGTCTCTTAGAACCACCTTTATACTCACCGAATTCATTTTTGGCAATTACTCCTTTAGTTGTTTCCAAAGGCTCAGATTCTCCGATGGCGTTAACAGCTTTGACTCTAAAGTAATACTCCTTCTTGTGAATTAACCTCTGAACATCATGGTGGCAAATCGTAGCCATTCCAGCGTCTGACCATGTTCCTCTTGAAACGTCCATTTTTTCGACAACGTAATGGAGAATTGGAGAACCGCCGTCGTCTAGTGGAGGTTTCCATGCTAAACGAGCACTTTCTTTGGTAACATTGGAAACATCGAGTGGCGGTTGAGGTGGTCCAGGACGATCTAGTACGGCAACGTTAGCTGATGCTGTTGTAGTTCCGTGATCATTCGTCAATGTCAAAGTGTACCTTCCCGCATCGCTTCGCAGCGAAAACGGAATATCAAAGGTGATTCTGTTATTAAACACTTGCATGTCGACTCTATCGCTGGGCAAAATATCTTTACCATTTACCGACCATTTTGCCGTTGGTTTAGGTGATGCTTCTATTGGAATGTTCCAACTGATACGATTACCTGCCTTCACTGTGAGATCCTCCAACAGTGACTTATCGAAGGTTGGCGCTAAGAATCTTGGTTTGGCTATGACTGGTAACGATGCCTCACTTGGATCGGAATGTCCACCTTTGTTTACGGCAATCACTCTGAATTCATATTCTTCGCCTTCGTTGAGATTGGGAACGGTGGCTTTTGTGCTATTGCCTGGAACTTCAGCTGCTCTTTCCCAAGTGCTATAGGAAGAAAACGTAGACGTTACACATTCTATGTGTGCCAAACTAACACTTACCCGTGCTTAGGCTTTTTCTCTATAATATAGCTGGTTATCGGCGAGCCTCCGTCTTTCTTCGGAGGAGCCCATTCCAAGTCGACGTGGTCTTTGTCCCAGTCGGTGGCACTCGGCATACCTGGTTTGTCCGGTTTTCCAAACGGATCTTTGGCGGTAATACTATCCATAGTTGCCAAAGGCACAGATTCTCCCTGCTTGTTCACAGCTCGCACGCGGAAGTTGTAGTCATGCCCGTCTGAGAGGTGAGGGACCCTCATTGACGTACCAACGGATTCCCCAACAGGTATCCAGCGCATGTTTTCGGTATCTTGTTTTTCCACAGTGTAGTGCGTAATCTCTGAACCACCGTCGTCTTTTGGTGGTTTCCACTGTAATGTTAGAGAATTCTTCGTGACATTATCGGCCCGAAGTGGTCCTTCAGGTGCTGTTGGTACATCTAAAACTATCACATTGACAGTCGCCACGTCTTTTCCGTTAATGTTTTTGGCAGTAAGAGTGTAAGGCCCACTGTCTGATCTTTTTGCGTCTGTAATTTTGAGTTTCGTGTTGTAATCTTCGTTGTTAATTTTAATTCTGTCGGTATTCGACAATACGTTGTCTTTCATTTCCCACTGCTTAGTTGGTGGGGGTTCACCAGCCACAGGCACATTAAATTCGAATGACTTTCCTGCCAGCACTTTAATGTCGGACAAAGCATTACGATCAATTCTCGGTGCAACTAAAATGAGTGTTATTTGCGTTTTAAAATGTTTCGAATACTTACGATTTTTAGGTCTGGCAACGTGCGTCTTGGAAGCGTCGCTTGGTTCACCGGGACCTGCTTTATTTACGGCTCTAACTCGGAATTCGTACGGAGTGTGTTCAATTAAGTCGCCTACTTTTCCTGTGGTCACATCGCCGTCCACTTCTGCACATTTTTCCCAGTTGGGATTAAACTTGTCTCGTTTTTCAATAACGTAACCGGTAATGGGAGATCCACCATCGCTCTTTGGTTTCTCCCATTGGAGTTGAACGAAGTCTTTGTCGTAATCAACGACCTCTGGTTGTCCAGGTTTATCCGGTTCGTCGAATGGATTTTTGGCTTCAATAGCTTGAGTTGTTTGTAAAGGCTCGGATTTTCCTTGTTTGTTTACCGCGCGTACTCTGAATTTATACTTTTTACCTGGGACAAGACCATCCACGTCCATTGATGTAACAGGGCCTTCTGTTTCACCTACGGGCACCCAACGACCTGTTGCTTCGTCCATCTTTTCAACGACATAGTTTTCTATTGGATTACCGCCATCATCTGCGGGAGGTTTCCACGCCAGCTTGCAACCGTTTGCGGTAACGTCGGAAACTTTCAGCGGTCCTCCAGGTGGACTTGGTTTGTCTAATATAATAACCTCGACGTCTGCGATATCTTTGCCGTTTATATTTTCGGCAGTGACCGTATACATTCCGCTATCTGCCCGTGTAGCGTTACGAATATTCAACTTGGTGTTATAATCGGAGTGCTGTACCTTCACATTTTCGCTGGATTTAATCTCTTTGGATTTTAATAACCATTTAGTTTCAGGGATTGGTTCTCCGCTGACTTTTACATCAAAGTTAAAGTTCTGGCCTGCTTTAATGCGTACTTCAATGAGATTACTTCTGTCGATTTTAGGTGCAAGGTTTCGTGGTTTCGCAATAATAGTAGGCGTTTCGTTACTAGCGTCACCTGGACCTGCAGCGTTAACAGCGCGAACTCGGAATTGATAAGGTTGTCCTTCGATTAAATCTGGCACCGTAGCACTGGTTTTCGAAGCAGGAACTTCTAGCGCTTTGTCCCAATCGCCAAATTTATCTTTCTTTTCAATGATGTACGCGGTTACCGGAGAACCTCCATCATCCTTGGGAGGTACCCATTGCAAGTCGACGTGGTCTTTATCCCAATCTGTTGCCTTGAGATTACCAGGAGCGCCCGGTTCGTCTAGAGTTTACTTATTACAAAATAGTGCACCAAATTCGATCACTTACCGAATGGATTCTTTGCAACAATTGTTGTATCTGCTTCTAGCGGTTTGGACTCTCCTTCGGCGTTAACGGCCGCTACTCTAAATTTGTATTCGTGCCCAGGAGTAAGACCCGTAACTTCCATATCTAAAAATTCATTAATACCTTGAATCTCATAAAATAGACAAGCCATTACTTGGTTCTGGAGATCGTCCACAGGGAACCCACACTCCGGTTTCTGGTTCCATTTTCTCAACTTGATAGTACTCAATTGGAGTACCTCCGTCATCTTTCGGTCTCTTCCATTTCAATTTGCAACCATCTTTATGTACGTCGCTGATTTGTAGAGGTCCCTCAGGACTAGTGGGTTTGTCCGTTACCGTAACATTGATCGTAACACTGTCACGACCAGAGCTGTTCGAGGCGGTTACATTATATTCGCCGGTATCATCACGCTTGACAGGGCGAATGGCAATCTTAGTGTGGTAATCGACATTATTTATTGTTACTTTGTTGTTATCTCGCAACGTAGAACCGTTAAACTTCCATTCAACCGTTGGTGGTGGTTCACCAATGATATTTGCCTCAAATTTGAGATGAGAGCCGGCTGATATGGAAACGTCGTGTAGGTACCGTCGATCAATTTTGGGTGCCACTAAAAATTTAAGGTTAGCCATGGTGAACACAAACAGTATTAACTTACAGAATCTGGGTTTAGCGATAAAGGACTTTCCGGGTTCAGACGGTAAACTCTGGCCTGCTTTGTTTAAGGCAATAACACGGAACTGATACTCATTGCCTTCTATAAGTCCGTTTACTATAGCATTTGGAGTTGCAGTAATCGTTTCGAGGGCTTTTTCCCAGAGAGGACTATATTTATCTTTCATCTCGATGATATATCCCGTTATAGGAGAACCTCCATCTGATGGAGGCTCGGCCCATTTAAGTTCTATGTGATTTTCTGACCAATTTTCTGGTTCTGGAGCGCCCGGTTTGCTTGGAGTTGCTAAAAGTATAAATTATAGTCCGTAAATGGTAATCACCAATTACGACTTACTGAATGGATCTTTGGCGACGATCGTTCCTAGAGTTTCTAAAGGTTCAGATTCACCTTCTTTGTTCAGTGCTTTAACCCTAAATTTGTACTCGTGACCAGGAATTAAACCGTCCACTTTGGCTTCGGGTACTGACCCAGTGGTTTTGGTAACTGGTAACCAAATACCAGTTTCAGGATCAAACTTCTCGACCACATATCCTTCAATCGGTTCTCCTCCGTCATCCTTTGGTTTCTTCCATTTTAGCGTGCAACCATCCTTTGTTATATCAGAGACTTCCAATGGACCTTCTGGTTTTCCTGGTTTGGCTAAAAAATTACATCTTTATACAGCAGTACATAGTTTGCGTTACTTACAAATCACTGTAATTTCTATTTCTGCTGTATCGGATCCATACTTATTAACAGCTTGAATTTTGTAAACTCCAGTGTCCTTTCTTTCGGGTTTGTCGTTAAAGAACTTGGAGTTATAGGGGATGTCCTCAATTCGCATGTGACTTGTAGATAATATGGTTTTGTTATCATGATACCACGTAACATCTGGCGGAGGTTCTCCGATAATTTTAACGTCAATGTAAATTGGTTCGCCTTCTTTGACAGTTAAATCTTTCAAATTTCGACGATCGATCCTTGGGGGCACTATGATTTGGAAAATTGTTAGCGATGCTTAGGTACTTATTTAAAGTTTAACTTACATTTGCGCGGTTTGGTGATAACGGACTTGGAAGCGTCACTTGGTTCCCCTGGACCCGCGGCATTGACAGCCTTTACTCTAAATTCATACTCCACTCCCTCGTCCAAATTATCTACAGTTCCCTTTGTATCGTGCGGTCCCACTTCACCGGCTTTAACCCATTTCGGTGAACCCTTTTCTCTCTTTTCTATTACATATCCTGTGATTGGAGACCCACCATCTTTAGTTGGTGGGGTCCATCTTAAGTCAACATGATCTTTGTCCCAGTCCGTAACTTCAGGTGTACCAGGAGCACCTGGTTCATCTGTAAAAAGATATTTTTGACCAGGGGAGTCTTTGACAATAATTGTACTTACCAAATGGATTCTTTGCAACGATGGTTTGCTCGGCTTCTAATGGCTCGGAAACGCCTTCAGGGTTAACAGCGGATACTCTAAATTTATACTCTTTTCCCGGTTCCAAATTGTCAAGATCTATTTTGGGTTCTTTAGATCGCCCTGCAGGAACCCAACGTCCAGTGTCCGTATCCATCTTCTCGACAAGATAACCTTCAATTGGCACACCTCCGTCATCTTCGGGTGGATTCCATCTAAGACTGCAGCCTTCTTTGTGCACGTCACTAATTTTCAACGGGCCCTCTGGTTTTCCAGGCTTGTCCAAAATTTTAATTTCGATACTAGCTTCGTCTTTACCACAGCTATTTTCCGCTTTTAGCGTTAAGATACCGGTGTGTTTGCGTTGAGCGATACCAACAACCAACTTAGTTTTGTAATCCTCACTTTCCACAGTAATATCGTTGCGGTTTTCAATCCGTTCTTTGTTTAGGAACCACGTTTTGGTCGGTGGAGGTTCTCCGCTAACCTTTACGTCTAAGCGTATGTGCTGACCCGCTTTTAGTGTTAAATCTTTGAGTGTGGTGCGATCGATCTTTGGAGGAACAAATCTATCCTTGGCAGTGATCGTTTCGGATGGCTGGGAGGGTTTACTTAGCCCTCCTTTATTTACAGCTTTAACTCTGAACTGATATTTTTGATCTTCGATCAAATCGGGCACCTTTGCTTCTGTCTTATCACCAGGGACTTCCAAAGCTTTGATCCACTTCGTCCCACTGGGATCCTTCTTTTCAATTATGTAAGCAGTGATAGGCGCACCACCGTCGTCTTTTGGTGCGCTCCACTTGAGGTCAGCGTGATTCTTGCTCCAGTCCTTCACTTCTGGTTTGCCTGGAGAATCAGGCTCTTTGTAAGGATTTTTGGCGGTTGTTGGCGTTGTAGTAACCAAAGGTTCCGATTCACCTTCCGCATTTACAGCCTTGACTCTGAACTGGTAATCTTTGCCTTCTATTAGTCCCGTCACGTCTGCTTCGGGAGATTTCGTTGTGGTAACTGGTACCCATCGTCCGGTATCTACATCCATCCTTTCTACAAGATAACCGGTAATTGGTTCCCCTCCATCGTCTTCTGGGGCGTTCCACTTAAGTTTGCAACCTTCAGCTGTAACATCAGATACATCGAGAGGACCTTTGGGTTTAGACGGTTTTGTCTTCACCACTATTTCGACGTCTACGGTATCCACGCCATGTTCATTGCGCGCGGTGACAGTATAAACACCTGTATCCTCCCGTTTTGATTTTTGTAAAATAAATGTCGTTTTATGTTCTTCATTTTCTATTTTAAGTCGATCTGTGTTTCTAAGGTTTTGTTCCTTCAAAGTCCAAGTGATTGTCGGTGCAGGTTCTCCTGAAACATCTGCTTCGATGCGCAACAGTTGCCCAGCGCGAATCTCTTTTTTCGCCAAATTTTTGCGGTCAATGCGGGGTGCAACTGTAACAAAAAATTATTTATTCGCATATTTGTACCGTGGAAATTATATTTACGTTTTCGTGGTTTGGCAATAACAGTTTTTGATGCGTCGCTCGGTTCACCGGGACCGGCTTTGTTGACCGCAATTACACGGAATTCGTATTCGTGGCCTTCATCCACGTTTTCCACCCTTCCTTTGGTTTTGTCTCCAGGTACTGTGGCAGCGTCCACCCAGCCACGACCTGCTTTGTCGTGCATTTGAATAATATATTTCTCGATAGGTGCACCACCGTCACTTTTCGGGGGAGTCCACGCTAGTTCCACGAAATCTTTGTCCCAATCGGTAGGTTCGGGTCGCCCTGGTTTTCCAGGCTCATCTGAAATCATACGGTTTAGCGAGATGTTATTAAACGTAATGCTTACCAAATGGATTTTTCGCGATAATGGATTTCTCTGTTTCAAGAGGTTCGGATTCGCCCTCCTTGTTAACAGCTTTCACTCTAAATTTATATGGTTTGCCTTCTTGTAAGCCAGTTACTGTAGCTTCTGGTTCCGCGCTTCTAGCGCATGGAATCCATTGGCCAGTCAAGGGATCTAATTTCTCTACTTCATAGTAGTCAATTGGAGAACCGCCGTCATCCTCTGGTTTCTTCCATTTCAGTTTACAGCCATGTTTATGTACATCTGAGACTTCAAGCGGTCCTTTGGGTGTGGACGGTTTGCAAAGTATGTTAAGTTCAAGCTCGGCCGTATCTTCGCCAACTTCGTTCTTGGCAGTGATTGTGTACTTTCCACTTTGCGCCCGTTTGGCTTTGGGAATAAAGAATTTTGTCTTGTAATCGGAGTTATCGATGCGAATTTCATTTTCCTTTGTAATTTCTTTTCCGTCATAGAACCACTTTACTTCTGGCGGAGGTTCACCCCTGACATTTATGTCTAAGTTTATTACCAATCCAGATTTGACAGTGAGAGGCTTTAGATTCGTTCGGTCAATCAGAGGTTTCACTGAAACTCAAAAATGAGACTAAAATAAACGGATATTGACACTTACAGAAACGTGCTTTAGCGGTATGCCAATTTGTTTGTTCGGAAGGTTCAGATGGACCGGCCTTGTTAACGGCCCGTACCCTGAATTTGTACTGATTGCCCTCTTCCAACTTTGGAACGGTTGCATTGCACTGAGGACCTACTTCGACAGCTTTCACAAATTGACCTCCGAATTTATCCATGACTTCGACAATGTACCCCGTAATTGGAGCACCGCCATCGCGAATCGGTGGTTCCCACTTTAATTTCACGGAATTTTCGTTCCAATCAGTTATTTCTGGCAAGCCCGGTGGTGCTGAAACGTCGTATGGATTTTTAGCTAATATCGACATGTCTGTCTCCAAAGGTTCTGATTCTCCCTCTTCGTTAATAGCTTTAACTCGGAAGTTGTACTTTTTATTTGGATCTAATCCGGTAACATCGAGGTCTGTTTTGTCAGGATCTACAAAACCGGCCGGAACCCATCTTCCCGTTGTGGTATCTTGCTTTTCAACGGCATACCCGGTAATAGGCAAGCCTCCGTCGTCTTTTGGCTTATTCCACTTAATTTTGCAGCCTTCTTTATGCACATCGGACACTTCCAATGGACCTTCAGGTTTACCCGGTTTATCTAAAATGATTACCTCGACCGGAGCTTCGTCGAAACCTGACTCGTTTTCCGCTCTAATCGTATACGTGCCGGTGTTACTTCGTTTTGTGTTTGTAAGGGTTAACTTTGTGTTATAATCTTCGTTCTCTATTTTTGTGTTAGGACCTTCTTCTAAAGGTTTATGTGCAAAACTCCAGGTTATCTTCGGTGGTGGTTCACCCTTCACGTCTACGTCAAACTTAACTATTTGACCAGCGCGCACTTTGACTGTGTGCAGTTTGTCACGATTGATCAGAGGACGTACTGAAAGCATTAAATGAAATTGACTGTTGATGGTACTGACTTAAGCTTACAGTGTTTGTATTTGGCGACGTGCGCGTTGGTAGCGTCGGATGGTTGGCCAGGTCCCGCCTTGTTTACGGCTTTCACTCGGAACTGGTATGTGTTTCCTTCTTTGAGCCCAGGCACCATTGCTGATGTGCTTGGTGTCTACCATTTGGATTACAGAATAATAATCGACCGTAAAACTTATACTTACATCTGTAGTAAGAATTTCGTCCCAAGATGGAGAAAACTTTTCCTTCTTTTCAATCACGTAACCAGTAATTGGAGCGCCTCCGGTTTGCTTTGGAGCTTCCCATTGCAATTCGACACGGTCTACATCATAATCTACAATTTCTGGCGTTCCCGGTTTGCCAGGTATATCTAAAACGAGATTGGTCACTTAAGCAAGGGTAAAATGTGAACTCTAGTACCATATGGGTTCTTGGCAATGATTGAGCTTTCTGTCTCTAAAGGTTCAGATTCGCCTTCATCGTTGATTGCTTTTACTCTAAACTGATACTCGTGACCCTCTTGCAAACCCTTGACGTCCATTTCGGTATCCGCTGTTTTACCAACAGGCACCCAACGTCCTGTAGCTTTATCCAGCTTTTCAACGGCATATCCAGTTACTGGTTTTCCGCCATCGTCTTCTGGTTTTTCCCATTTTAATTTGCAACCATTCTTCGTTACATCCTCGACTTTAAGCGGTCCTTTCGGTTTACCCGGTACGGCTATTTAATGTGCGCTTTTTTTGTACAATTTCACACAGAGGGTGGCGATACTTACATAGTACAGTTACTTCCACCTCTGCTTCATCTTCACCGAACTCATTTACAGCTTTAATTTTATAAACTCCGGTATTTTTTCTAAGCGAATTCGATATATTTAGTTTGGTATTATAATCCACGTTAATGATTTCAATGTTATCCTTGGTTCTTATTTCGTTGTTCTTATGGAACCACGTAACCACCGGGGCAGGTTCACCTTTTATGTTAACATCATACTTTATCGGCTTTCCAGCGTGTACGGTAATTGGTTTCAAGTTGGTTCGATCAATCCTCGGTTTTACTGTAAATATAAAATTATGGTGACCTTTTTGCCTTTCGTAAGCTAGAGATATGGAGTTTTTAGATTACTTCTCTGCTGAATTTCGGCATTATATTACAATTGTATCTTTCGCGCCAGATATGCAATGGGACGATATAAATGAAATGTAGTGCCTTGTCTGCTCGAAAGACATACAAACCTAGATCAAAAAACAGTGAGATATACTTCCACTGAAACTTCATTTCAGCAAATACATCAAGATACTGTGAAGTTAAAAAAAGTGATAGCGTAGTTGCATGCTCAACTACGCATGAAAAACCAAAAAATCAAAGGCAAAAAACGCGTAAAAAGCAAAAGGAATAAATTGCGATATGAATCACGTGGACAACGATCAACCGTGTAGGTATAAACATGTAGATGAACTTGTTCCAGCGTTCGTATCAAACAATTTGCAAAGAATATAATCGGCAAATTAAAAAAGCGCATTTGTAACATACAAGCTCTGTGTTTGATGATCTGCATTTTAGATGCGTCCGATGGTGGAGATGGTCCAGCTTTGTTCACCGCAATAACTCTAAATTGATATTCCGCGTTTTCCTTAAGATCGTCGATACGGGCGTCCAGTTGATTTCCAGGCACTTCAGTTGCCTTTTCCCAGTCGGGCCTAAATCTGTCCTTTTTCTCGATAATGTATTTTTCAATTGGAGCTCCTCCGTCGCTAGCCGGCTTCTCCCATTTAAGGTTAACGCCGGTATTGTCATAATCAGTTATTTCCGGCGTTCCGGGCTTCAATGGCTCATCTATCACAATTATTAAACCCCTGCGTGAGGAATTGCGTTACGAACTTACCATACGGATTCTTGGCGATTGTTCCCGTTTCCGTTACGAGAGGGTCGGAATCACCCTCATTGTTACACGCGGATACGCGAAATTTGTACTCGGTACCTGGTATGAGTCCAGTTACCTCGAAAGATGGCTCGTCTTTATCACTTGCAGGTACACGACCAACCCGTATCCATTTACCGGAAGCGACATCCATTTTTTCAATTTCGTACTCTTTGACTGGACTTCCGCCATCATCCTCTGGCTTTTTCCACGACAACTTGCACTTTGTATTGGAAACATCCGATACTTCTAACGGGCCCTTCGGCGGGCTCGGTTTCGACAACACTGTGAGCTCTACAGTTTCCACGTCTTTCCCCGAAGCATTTTCCGCGATAATGGTATACTTTCCCGTATCCTTACGCTCGCAATTAGTCAAAGTGAAATCTGTGTGATAATCCACATTATCTATCTTAATACGTTCGCTATTGCTAAGAGGTACGTTGTCTCTCCAAACCCATTTAACAGTTGGTGGAGGTTCTCCTGTAATATCAACGGACCATTTGTGCGTACGTCCCGCTTTAATGGTAACAGCTTTAAATGTTTCACGATCAATCCTGGGTTTCACTGGAACACATTTTTAAGTAACAACCGCCACATCAACCAAATATACTTACGGTTCTTATATTTGCAAAGATGGCTGTCTGTTGGTTCGGAAGGTTCACTTTTGCCCGCTTTGTTGTGGGCGCGGACACGAAACTGGTATACGTTCTTCTCCTTTAGCCCTTCGATTTTGGCTTCCGGCACGCTGTCTTCCGTTTTAGCGACCTCCGTCCAATCGGGAGAGAATTTGTCCTTAATTTCAATGGTGTAGTGAGTAATTGGTCGACCACCATCACTAAGCGGTTTTTCCCACTTTAGCGTAACGCTCTTGTTATCGTAATCTATAATTTCTGGTTTACCAGGTTTCTGTGGCTCGTCGTAGGGATTTTTGGCGAGTATCGAATCATCTGTTTCCAGAGGCTCTGATTCGCCCTCCTTATTCTTAGCTTTGACTCTAAACTTGTACTTTTTATTTGGAGTTAATCCTTTGAACGTAAAACTATCCTCGTCAGCTCCCACTTCACCGGCGGGTATCCACCTTCCGGTATCCATGTCCATTTTTTCTAGTACGTAACCGGTCAGGTCGGTACCGCCAGTATCCTCCGGTTTCTTCCATTTCACCTTGACGTGATCAGAACGTACCTCTTCCACCACAAGCGGACCTTTAGGCGGTGTTGGCTTGTCAAGAACAATGACATCTGCTGACCTTTCGCAAGTGCCTGAACTATTTGTTAAGGTAAGGGTGTACTTTCCACTATCCCCACGTACAGCTTTACGGGTTGTAAGTACAGTGTTCTTTTCTCGATTTTCTATGGTAATTCTTTCCTCTGCATCTTGCTTCAACACAGTTTTGTCTCTTGTCCAAGTAACTTCAGGTTCTGGTTCACCTCCAAATCGAATATCGTACTTAATAATCTGTCCTTTCTTTACTATCAAATTGATTAGATCGTCACCAATAATAAACGGTTTGACAAATCTGCATTTTGCGATAATCGGTTTAGTTGGGTCGCTGGGCTCGCCCGGACCGGCTTTGTTAACTGCACGAACGCGGAATTCGTACTGGCTATTTTCCTTCAAACCGGGACACGTGGCCGATAATTTATCGGCAGGGACCTCGATTCCTTTCGCCCAGTCTTTGCCGAATTTCTCTTTGTACTCTACGACGTAGCTAGTAATTGGGGCACCTCCGTCGGAATCTGGTTTGTTCCACTTTAGATCAGCGTGATCTACATCCCAATCGGTTAATTCCACGTCTTTAGGTTTACTAGGTTCATCTAGAATCACGAAGACTCTTAATGACCGTTTAAGGGAAGATAAAACCAAAGCGAGAAGCGAGAAAGTCGATTTGAATAGCCATTGCGTATACTTAAAATATTACCTCGTCTGATTATCAGATACCTACCCCAAGGATCCTTTGCTAATACTGGGTTAGCAAACATAGCAGCTTCACTTGGTCCTAGTTTATTTACGGCGCGGATACGAAACTTGTATTGTTTCTTAGGAATTAAGCCCTCTACCTTGAAGTTTGTAGGTTCTTTAGCGGAGACTTTACCTACGTTATCCCAGCCAGCTACAAAGATAATAAAATTAAAATTTAAGATTTTTCGTAGTAAGTATAGGTACATTTTAAACTAAGGTCCTGCCTTTCCACCAAGTAATGAAGTAATGGAGCACCGCCATCGTCTTTTGGTGGTTTCCATGAGACTTGACAGTTGGTTTGGAATACATCAGTAACATTAACATCTTGAGGTGGAGAAGGAACATCTTGCATTGTGACCGTGACGTCTTTGACGTCTTCGCCTTGTCCATTTCCAATTTTAATTTGATAAGGTCCAGATTGATCTCGAGTTGGTTTTTTAACTTTAAATACGACTTTATCATCACTTACAACTACATCTACGTCTTTAAGAGGTAACGGTTTTCCGTCTTTGATCAATTTTGCTTCTACCGGAGTTTGTCTAGTACCATCGACTACAAAAAAAAGTCAAACTCATTTATAACTGTAATAATAGTTGCTTACTTTTAAATGGAACTTCAATGGCAAATGGCTTATCTATGGGGCCTTCAAAGGCACCGGCACAATCAATGACAGGTACAGTTTCTCCTTTCTTAACGGTTAACATCATGGACGACTGAAGTTTTCCTGATTCGCAGCTGATTTCGCCGTTATCGCCCATTTCCAGTTTATTAAACACCAATTGATGTTTACCGCCTCCTAAATTTTTTATTTCAACTCGATCAGATGGTTCTATGGGTTTGCCATTGAATTTCCAATCTGCGGGTGCCGTTTGGTCTTGAAGTTCAATATCTAAGACGAGTTTTTCGCGTTCAACAGCTTCAGTATCTTTCAATTTCTTGTTGAATCGATTCAGATAGTTAACTATCAACTCTGCCTCAGTTTTGTCCGCATTACTGACGCATTTGTACATTCCCGCATCTGTAACCTTCGCGTCCTTAATAACGAGTTTACGTTTACGTCCATCCTTTGAAATAACAACTCTTTTATCGGGTTTAATTTCTTCATCTCCCTTGTACCATTTAACATCACCTCCTGCGTCGTCGAGCTCACAGAGCATCGTTATATTGTCCTTTTCAACTTGTTGCTGATGTTTTAAAACTTTAACAAACTTGTACGGGTATTCTATGATTTTGACAGCCGTAACGGTTTTGTCTGATTGCTTTTCAATTTTGCACATATACTCTCCAGCGTCTTCGAGTACACAATCTTTTATATTCAATTTACACATTCCAGTCAAATCTTTTGTAATATCATGTCGACCTCCATCGATAATCTTTTGATTACCTTTAAACCAAGACACAGCGGCCATACTTGAGCTAACCTGACATTCTAAAAGTACTTCGTGTTTGGTGTATCCAGAATACGATTTCTTTAGTTGTTTTATAAATGTGTAGCATGGATCCGCCTCTTCGACTGTAAGAAAACCTGTTGAACTGACGCCACCTATTTCAATTGTATATTTCCCGGTATCTTCAACTTTAGGATTCCAGATGACAAGTTGATATATGTCTTTTTCGCATGTAAATTTGTACTTGGATCCAGGGAAAAGCTCCTGTGTAAATATGATGTTGAATGCAGGATAAAGGGCAAGGAGGAGTACTTACGTCTTTTCTAAAGCACCATTTCGGCTTGCAATTTCCTTTGGAAAATCCGGCCTCAAATGTCACCTTTTTGTCTTTTCCTTCTTTTGCGAATTGGTCAACCAGCGGTCGCAAGAATGCTTCTTGTTTCTATAAGTAAAGTTCTAGAATTAGATAATTCGTTGCTGGTAATAAAGGATCAAAAAATGGTATCGACGTTGGTTGTAAAAATTGTCGCCTCCGCCTTAAAAATCGGCCTGAAAGGGCTATAATTCGAAAAAAGTACAAAATGCAAAATTAAAAAAAGTGTATAGTTGTAGTTGCGCTCGCGGCGCATGTTTTATATTAAGCATGCATCGTGGGTACACGAAGGTAAAATGCAAGACAACATCAAAGTTGGATCATTCTGGTTGTACAAAAGCGAGTATAGGTTGCTAACGCTGGAAAAATCGACTAATAATCATATTAAAATCGATTTTCCCGTATTTAAAACAAATGTGTGTAGTATTGAAAGGTATCAGGTTAAGTGAACGTGCAACGGGTTGACATATATACAGAAGATTCATTCTGTACTCCAACCTCCTTTCTCTCAAAATGGTGTAATACTGGCCAGTCGGGAATTAATTCAGCCAAGGATGGCCTTCGTGAAGAAACTGGTGTCTATAAAGAGAAACTAAAACTCAGATTCTATATATACCTACAACGATGTCAAAAAGAACAACACAAAACGAGAGTTTGATGTTGATATTGTGTTCAAAAATATACAAATCAAATGCTGTAATTAAAAGTATTTATAACAAAAAATAGGGTAGTTTTGAGAAAAAGTTACCTTTTCAACTTTCTTTAGTTGCGGCATCGGTTTTTCGACTTCTTTCAGGTCTCCCCAATCTGGATCCTCTTTATCTTGGGCCCACTTGGCGTATTTTCTCTTTTTTAGTAAAGCGCGGAAGTCCATGCCGCTTGAATCTAAAGAAAATATATATGTATTAACGACGGTGGCAAAAATAGTTTCCGTTAAAGTCTGGTTTACTTAGAAGGGATGGAACCTGGTAAAGACAAATACCTACATTAATTCTAGGCAGATATTAGATAATGGAGTATAGGGAAGGGAAAAGCATGGTTTTCACATACTGGAAACGTTTTGGGGGGGAGGGGCACCGTGAATTTTGATATTATCAGTGGCAGACCTGGTCGCTCTAGGCCTGATTAAAAATAATAAAATCGTAAATCATTGAACAAGCCGTTCCGTCATTTTTGGATAACAAATTAAACGAGGTTGATTAATTGATTCATTGGTGTCGGTAGTTTTGGCATTTGCCAATAGAAATTTTTGGCTTTATTGACAAATTCAAAAGTTACGTACTTGGGACGGCATTTTAAGGAAAATGATTGCATTTTTTTAAATAAAATCTGATCTAAATTTTATATTGGGCCATTTTTCAAATCCGACCTATGCGACACTTTAATACAAAAAATTGGGACCACTCTACATACTACATCACCTTTTACAAATCTGCAAATGATAGCAGGTCTATCAAAACTTGGTTCCCTAAGCTATTACCGATAAAAGTATTTCAACCCTGTTTCCAAGGCGGAAGTTGTAGCTGCTCGCCGGCATGGGGGTGGTCGTATTTGCTCCTCCTATTGTTTATCCTATTGTTTAAAACTGCAAACCTTACCATTCACCCTTACAGATGTTACATTAAAGCTGTACGGAGATACGGTGGTTTATTACCAACCGCGAACAAGCTGGTTGGTAGCAAAATTTCCTAAATTAAAAGCGTTGGAAGGAGAGTCCCACAGGGCTCAATTTTAGGTCCTCTCCTGAGTATTATGTACAAGACCTTTAGGTATGCTGGGACATGTTACATTTAATCATGTCAAAACTGATGTTCTACCTGGTACTCTAACGAGTTGTTGATAGTAGGTAATGAACTTCCAGTTTTACAGAACTCTAGGCTACAAATGATAAATCGAGAAGAATATAGTGCTAAAATTTTGATCTGAAAAAGACCCCGTTGGATACCAATTTGAAGATATTTAAGAGATTTTAGTATCTAAAGCATACCATTTTTAAGTCCGTAGGAGAATTCATTGTGGAGTAATTTTGAATTGTAAGGATTTCGAGATAATTGTATTTTTTGACCCTGACGGGAGAGGACCCTGCGTGTTAGTTTAGGAAATCATCTCTGGACGTAATTCCTTTTCTAGTTACTTTTACTCATTCCAAATTAAAAACTCTATGTCATACAATAGTGCATAGTGTCAAACTAGTTACTACTTAATTCAATTGAAATCACTTGCAAGTAAAGTGGTTGACAGGGTCGCCCCAACAAAAAATTACAATTGCTGAATTGACCCAAAAATGTACATAATACGCGAACGGTAAGATTTAAATTTTAACTATGCATTCATAAGGCAAAGCTAAAATTACAATATCCGCCCGGAACCATGGCCCGGAACCATGGCCTTCTTCTGGCTTACAACCAGGGGTTGGAACCGAAACCGAAAAAGACCGTACCGGAACCGATTGCATTCATAAGCCCCTCATTTGTACTGGATACTGTAATTATTAGTGCCAAAGAACCGGTATTTTTCAGTTTTGAGGGAAATTTATATTGTTGCTCTTAAAATTTGGTTCAAAAGTATCGGGTGTCAAGACTTTTTTTAGATTTAACATTAGTGGATACTGGATATTATTATTAACGATAATATATTATTATTTTATAAGATGGGTGGGGTTAAACGTAATCCTGACTCATGATCATTTTATGGATGACAACAAAAAGTTAGTGTCCAAGTGTAAACTTTGCCATGCTGCGATTCGGGTAACCTTGTTTAGTATTAAGGTGTCACTTTCAAAATTTTGCCATCAGGGATGACCTCGCAATCAACCTAATTTTCTAGAGCAGAGGAAGAGTATTTTAGAGTTAGCTCATGAACTCGCGTGAGGGTGAATAAATTTTTAAAAAATGTAGTTTATTTTTTTGGCCACGAATATGGGACCAAATATTTTGAATGGTTCAACAGTAGGTACATCTAAGGATCTTACCTGATACGTATAGATTCATTTCGGCAGAGTCGGAGCCATGTACATTAGAAACGACGATCCTATAAGGCCCTTCATCATTGGCCTTACTTTTTCGTATAATAAGGGTGATCGTGTTCGTTTCGCCATCTGTAAGAAACTTAAATCTTCCTCCCTCGATGATTTCAGTAACTCCCTTGTAAAACTTGAACGTGGGAACCGGATTACCTTCAACTTCCACAGTGATGTAAGCAGATTCACCTGTAGGTCAACGTTGAGGAAGATTTCGACATTTCTCTTAGATTACCTTCAACGGATGAAATACTTTCCATAAAATCGACAATAACTGGAGGCCCTCCATCTCCTACGAGCCTCAAGGGGGTCGAAGGTTTTTCCTCCATTTCGGACATACTTGGTCGTCTAACGTCAGAACTTTTACGCCTCTGTGATATGAACGTAAGTTAACAGAGTTGAATACATAAAAGTAGTAACGTAAATGAAATTGAGCTACGGTTAGTAAAAGGATTAAAGAAATTTGGCATACACGGTAGAAATATTTAAGATCAACATAAATTGTGAACACAGTTACACGTACGAGTCCTGAGTCATAACAGTTTGGTGTTGGTAAATCTATGTCTTGCAAATGGCAGTATTACTAGTATAATTATAAATTAATTTAATCATAAATTTCAACGCAATGTTGAATCGTTACCAAAAGCTTTAAAATGACAATTATATAACATCATTAAAACCAAATGTCGCAATTAATTTGGACCACGGTTTTTGTACAGAGCTACTGAATCAGATAAAGGGGATTCTCCCATTTGAAGACGCTTTGGCAAGACCCGAATTTTATGGTTAACTATTCTTAATTTTGAAATAAATAATAATTACGTAACGTAAGAAATTAGGGATATTTATAAATTAATATTATGTGTACGTGCACTTAAAAATTCTTGAAGTTATGCCCGAAAGTCGTACACAAAATTCAAAATTAGATCGATTTATGTGTTTTTCAGAGATTTTTTTGCCAATTTTTGAAATTAAATATTTCTACAGAACGAAATCATCTTGTAGGAAAAGTGTGAAGCAATAGGCGTTAGATAAGCTGGTAGCGTGACACAGAATTATCAGTGGGTAGGTCAAACGCGATTTAAATGTGTAAAAACACACTAGGTACGATTAAGAATGGACGTTAAGACATTGCATTTCTATTCTATTTAGGGACTCATTGTCACTATTCTAATATTTAAAGGACAAGTCTCTTGTACATATAGTACGTTCTAGTCATCTCGACGATATACAAAAAAACCAACTCTTTTTTGAAAATTCTTCACTGCCTTTTTGGATCTACAGCCCAAAGAAGTTGGCATTTCTATCTATCGGTTTGGATATCAGGAAACGTGCTATATGTATTCGTTAGATACAAACATATATGTTTTAATCACAGTGCCTCTGCTATTCTACTATTGATCCCTGCTAACCTGTTTATCTGAGCTATGCTGCAATTCTCCTGGTCGCAGGCCTTTTAGCTTTAATATCAAAATACAATGTAAATAAGTGACAAAAGCTATGTTTTTTTTATATCTACTCTACACAAGTTTATCGAAATAGGGGCATAAGAGATCTGTGCCGTGTCCAAAGCTGCATTGCCATCTGTGGCTGTGAGCTCAAACTGTGTTAAATGATTAATGCTTTTCTTGACTTTTACGTGACTAATTCACAAAGGTTTACATTTAAGCAACTGACAGAATTTTGAACAGAACTGTTACTTAATTTGCACCCTTCGTGATAACACAATTCAAGCGTCACATTTTAAAAACGCTCTACCAACTGAAATTTAAATTAGGTAATTAAGAGATGCAAGGCGAAGTCACGATAGCTGAAATCATCAGTGTTACCTTTTTATCCTCCAACATCTCTCCTGGGCGTAGCTTCCTGGTATCCTATTACAAATTGTCTTTATACATAGGTACAAAAATTATTTACTTTCACGCATCGTCACATCACATACACATAGTTATTAACAAAAACATGATATTCACCTCATCTGCGATAATAATGCTGGTCCTACGTCCTGATTCCTCTGGAGGGATCAACGATCCACGCCGGCCATGAGGCGATGATGCCGCTAATGAAGTCTTACGAGGCTCAGGTTGAGGACTTTTTTCCTTGCTTATCTCTATTATAGGCGCTTCCACAATCTTCGGAGTTTCGATGGGTTTTTTAATTTCGGGCACATCGGCTTTTTGAGCAACCTGGGTTTTAGTGTCGGTTACTTTCTTTACTTCGGGTACAGACGGCTTGTCCTAAAGTATCAAAAGTGTGACTTGATGATACACCAACACCACACGCAAATTTGCCGACAAAATACTTGGAGTGAACTAAGCGATGAAAAGCGTTACCTCGCGCGGGGATTTTATATTAATCTACGTCAACCAAAATAAACGTCCCTTCTGTCATGAGTTATTATAAGCCCAGATTATATCAACGAATAAGCATTAGGGTGCCAAGATTACACATATAAAATTAATTATTGTACATTCCTGGCTAATGTGCCGTAGCCGATCTTACCTTAGTAAGTTTAGTTTTTTCACGAGGATCTGATGGATTAAAGTCTGAACGCTCGTACGTTTCTAGAACTGCCCTTTCATAATCGGGGATGTTTTCCCAATCTTCGTACGACGCTTGTTGCTTTTCTACACCCCTTTGTGTAACGTCCATCGTACCTCGTTTTTCGGGTACTTTCTAACAAAATACATTGGTGTTTTATTAGACATGTCTCGGAAGTTAAACAGACTTAGAAGGTAGGTAAGTACGAATGCAATTTGAAATAATAAATCAGTATTTTTAGAAGAAAGTACAGATAGAGAGAAGTATGGACAGACACTGAAATTTCGTAATTATATATAGTAGATAAGATAGATCAGATGGAGAAGAGAAGATAGAGAAACACTGTTGCAGTTAGTGTTATCCATAGATGTTACCTTTAATTCAACTTCTTCTAAATTAACCTTCTGTACATTTTTTGCCTCTCGTACAACAGGCTTTAATTGTATACCAATGAAGGAAGCCGCTTTTGGTTGAGAGGGCGTGTTCTGAATAATATGTGTTACATTGGAACTGTGTAATGTGCATTTCTAGACAATTAATATTATTAATTTACTCACCTTTAACTTTGTTGCGGTCAGCTTGTCTTTGGCGCTATCCTGAATCCGATGAATGATGACAGATGCAATGGAAGAAAATGAAAAACAAGAAATTAGTCCTTTCGAAATCGTTTGGATTACAACGAAATTGGATTTTTTCAATTTTGACAGGTTTGCGTTAATAACAATGTGAATGTTTCATATTGTTAAGTGTTTGTATGGTGCATTAGAAATAAAGTGTAACTACCTGGTCCGGAACAGTTTTCTTTAACATGCTTTTGTCAGGAACGACAATTTCGGGTGCCTTCAAAGCCGATTTTTTCTCCACCATATTCTCAACCGGCTTTAGTTCCTTCTTTAATTCTGACGCCTTTGGTTTTACTAGCAGATCGTCCTTCTTTTGTTCGATTTTTTTTGCTTCGGTCGGTTTTACATCAGATCCTGGTTTCGGTTTCACAGGCACTGCCTCTACTGGTTTGACTTCTTCTTTTTTGCTTTCCAGTTTAGACTTCGGAGTAGGTTCACTTACAGTCTTCTGTTCCTCTGTTTTGCTTTCGGGTTTGGGTTTGGATGGTGCTACTTCTGCTGGCTTGATTTCCTCTTTTTTACTTTCCAGTTTGGGCTTCAGAGACGCTTCATCCACCACTTTCGTTTCCTCTTTTTTTATTTCTGACTTGGCTTTGGGAGGTGTCACATCTACGGGCTTCGTTTCCTCTTTTTTAGTTTCAAGTTTGGGCTTCGGAGACGCTTCATCTACTACTTTCGTTTCCTCTTTCTTAATTCCCAGCTTGGATTTGGGAGGTGCCACATCTACGGGCTTCGTTTCTTCCACTTTTTTGCTCTCTGGTTGGGGTTTGGGCGCTTCTGTCACCTTTTTGGACTCTAGTTTAGTTGCTTTTGTGTCCAGCGGAGGTTCTTTTGGTTCTTCTTTCTTTAATATCGATTTTGTGGTATCCAATTGCTCTACTTTTTTTGTCTCGGTTACTTTTGTAGTATCTTTGGGCTTAATCTCATTCTGTTTAGGCTTTTCTTGATCCACCGGCTTCTTTTGTGTAATCTGGTCTATGTTATTTGTTGTTTGTTGCTATATATGTAAAGAATGTGTTTCATGAGTTGAGGTTGAAACAAATTGTATGTAAATGGCATTGTTAGTTAGAACTTACCACGTCTTTGGCAGGTTTGGTTGGTGTGACATCTTTTTTCTGTAAGAATTTGTCTGATTAATGTCAATCATTGTATATAAGTCGTTAATTGTACAAACGTACACTCATATGTACTCGTACCCACCTTTTCAACTTCCTCATTTGCGTAACTTTTCTTCGTCTCTGTTTTGGTCTCTTCTTGTTGCTAATATCAAACATAAATTATACAAATAACAGGACGTACACCTTACAACATACCTTCTGGAATGATGATCGTCGTGTTGTTTTATTATCACCATCTTGCGCTACCTATAAGAGTTGTCGCTAAGTTTTTTGCTTAGTTATGATTTAATGTTATTACCGTTTCCTGCACCTTAATCACGGAACTCCTGCGAGACTCTGATTTTTCTTCAACCTAATTTTATTGACAATAAACATTTATTTCACAGTTTACAGGGCACAACCTACCTTTTGAATTGAACTCTTCCTTTCAACTTTTTGATCGGCAGGTTTGGACAGGACATCCTATAAGTAACGTACAACGTAACAATGACATTGACAATTAGGTACAAAGGACTACCTACCTTTTCTTTTTCCGGAGTTTTGACTGCGGGTTTCTTTTTGTCAACATCGTTCATTTTTTTAGCGTCATCCTTTACAGAAACAGAATCACAGATACAATCACGTAACATAAAACATGTTTTACCTCTACGAAAACTTCTTTTTTCTCTTCTTTGATTTCAATTTTCTTTTCCACTTTAACCTTTGGTTCTTCCTTCTTTTCTTCTTTTGGTGGTTCCTTCTTTTCCACCTCTTGCTTTTTCTTCTCTACGGTCACTTCTTTCTTTTCCTCCTTCTTCTCTGCTTTCTTTTCTTCCTTCTTCTCTACCTTCTTTTCCTCTTTCTTTTCTTCCTTCTTTTCCTCCTTCTTCTCTACCTTCTTTTCTTCCTTTTTTTCCTCTTTCTTTTCTTCCTTCTTTTCATCTTTCTTTTTCTCTTCCTCCTACCAAAAACACAAAACAATAAACGTTAATAGTCAACTTTTTGTGGTGCCTAATTAAATAAGTGACTTGTATGTAGTATTATAGGTACAGAGTAAGTATATTTTACCTTAACAGTTTCTTCTGGAATTATTTCTTCCTCTTCCTCTTCTTCTTCCTCCTCATCTGTTTCATCCTTGTGAATATAGGTGTTTGTTTATTATATGATGTGTTATGAATATTTGTATAAAACACATGTGAATCAAAATGAATTCTTACCTCTTCCTTTTGCTTTTCTTTAACAGTAAGTGTTGCGCTGGATTCGTCTTCGCCAAATTCGTTCTTCATGACGACTTTGTAGGTTGCTGAGTGTGATAATTTGCACCGACTGATACTGAGACGTGCGCTGGATCCGTCGAATACCATTTTCGTATCCGCGGATTCCTTGATGACGGTAGAATTCTTATACCACACCACCGTTACAGTTTTATCAATAATTTTAAGACTAGATATGAAGTCTACCGTCTTTCCTTCTTCGGTCGTCTAAAATATATCGATCAATCGCAAACCAAGTTCTGAAATTAAGACTTACAATGTTAGTAAGTTTTGTTATTTTGGGTTTCTCTCCTTTAGGTTTTTCTTCGGGGGGAAATTCTGTTACTTCGACACTTTGTGAGGTAGCTTCTCCCTTTTCATTTCGAGCCATCAATTTATATAAACCCTTGTCTTCTTTGACAACTTCGTTTATTTCCAGTTTGACATTAAATTCGCCCTACAAAATTGCATTAGTGACTGTTTATGTTGCGGCGTGCGCTTACATCTTTGACCTGTTCAATATGAACTGTACGCCTGGTGTCTTCCTGAACGACGTTATCTTCTTTGTACCATGTACATTGGGGTTTAAATTTACTTTGTACTTTACATTCCACGATAACGGTGCGTTTCTTGACAATTTTAATGACTTTTGGTTTTTCTTTGATGACTGGGATAATTTCAATGTTTAGGGTGAGATTTGCGTTGAGCTCTCCCAGAGTGTTCTTAATGTTGCACTTGTAAAGGCCCGAGTCTTCCAGATCTGGATCTTTCAGCTCTAATTTGATGTAATATATTTCCTCTTCGAGTTTCTCGACGCTGATTTTGATTTTACTTGATTCAGTAACGACTTTCCCTTCCCGATACCAGGTAATCGTGGGGCTGGGATCTGCGCGGACCTGTACTCATACACTTAGAGAAAATTTGTATAAGTTGGCCCTTTACCTTGCAATCCATTATGACAAGTTTTCCAGACTGGTGTGAGGTTATTCGTGGTTTTTCTACAAATGTGGGACCTTCACCTTCCGGTTCCGGTTCGGCTTCAATGTTTAAGTTGAGATTAGCGTTACTTTCTCCGTATTCATTTTTAACATGGCACCTGTATGTGCCACCGTCTGGAGCTGCAGGGTCCTGAAATTTGAAACCATGGGATTCCAAGTACTCGAACTGTTGACAAATACCTTAATCTCTAGGCTTAATTCGTAGATGTCTTCCGACACGTCGACGATGGTGATGGTGATTTTCGAAGATTCTGTGACGATCGATGTTCCTCGAAACCATGTGACCTGGGGTTTGGGTTTTGCCTTACATTTACATTTCATTGTAATTAGGGTTCCACTTTCGTTCGGTATGATTTTAGGTTTTTCGATGAATGATGGTGCAAAACCAGCGGCATTGTCACCACCTGTAAAGTAACACATGTGAGCGTTTGACTTGAGACTGGCACTTCGGGGTGTTTACGGCCATGCTCATGCAAACGGGGCTACGAAGTGTAACAGACATCGACAAGTGTTGACAAGGCTGAAACATATCTCAGACATATTTACAACACGGGTATTCAGCAGAGAAGTTGTACAAAACTCCGTAATTTACGGAGCATACCTTGGAAGTTAAGCGATATATTCGCATTACTTTCACCATAAATATTGAACGCATTACATTGATAATTCCCACCATCGTCTAAGGAAGGTTGAGAAATTTCTAATGTGAGCAAGTACGTGTCTTTTGCCGTAGCTTTCCGTGACATACGTACTCGCTTGTTATCTGTAATGACCTTATTCCCTTGAAACCAGGTAATGTCTGGTGCAGGATATGCTTCCAGCATACACTGCATTATGAGAGTATCGCCTTTCTGGTGAATTGTGGGTTTCTTCGGGAAACGTGGTGCTTTTCCCTCAGGAATTCTGTGGAATAGAGCACTATATGTGAGGTTTGCAATATAAACCGCTTATCTTACTTAGGCTTCCCAGTGCCTTCGAAGTTAAGATTTATGGTGGCCGTTTCTGTGCCGTATTTGTTTTTAACAACAGCTCGGTAATCTCCCTTATCAGAAACATTAACCTCATTAATATCTAAGCGTGCTAAAAAATAGAGTATCTCATCGATGTCCATCGATGTCGCAAAACGCCCTCCTTCGGTAATTTCCTTCGTTCCATGGAACCTACGTACCACCATAGAGATTCTGCTCTGTTTCTTAGCCAGAATGAGTATACGTACCAGGAGAGTTCTGGCTTCGGGTCACCCACACAACGGCATTCGAACGTGATCTTGCCGCCGTCTTCGGTTTGTCGGATGACGGGACGCTCCGTGAAAGTTGGTTTGTAGCCTGTTTCGGGTACTGGTGCTTCATCGCCTATGCAGAAATTCTCCTAAACTGGCTATCAGGCTACTGGACAGCCAGCAACACTCGCGCAACTAACAATGTTCGTCATCGAATAAGCTCAGCTTTTAATATCGCCCTAACTGTGTTAAAATTACAGTGCTGAAATAAATGTGTCACATTTGCAAGAACATGGCCTTCGAAAAGTCAGGGAGTATCATGTCGAGTAAGATTGTCTGTAACTTCTTAGTAACAAGAAACAAAAGTTCGCTAAAAATATAACGCAATCCAATTATCAGCTTGTCAATAACAAAATGCAATGCAAAATTTAGGCGAGATACTGGATTGCAGGGTACTGAGTACTTCTGTATCTAATCTAAGCTTTTCAGCTAGTAAAAAAGATCACACAGCACGTCTTTGTCAAAGGCACTGTACACGGATTAATATTGGAAATGTTAAAAAACTTGCGGATTAAAAGCTGAGCTGAGATTAAGCGCAGTTAGTCCATTGTAACTGTGCACGAGTGCTGACATTTGTCCCATTACAGTTGCTATGGTGCTCAAGTATAAAATTGATCGTGTATTTAAGATGAAGTAAAAACAAGTGTTCTGAATACAACGTATTATATTTGCAACTGATGAGTGAGTACAGTGTAATCGGTAATGTGCAAGACTTGAGCAGATGCATCCGTGGAGCAAAAGCACCTATACTAAAGTTGTGCTGCCACACAAATGCAGTTAAAAGCTGAAAACTGAAAGCTTATAGCCATACAACACAAAGAAAGTTAGATAAGCTTAATCTTTCAGTTTCAGTTATTGAGAGAGAAGTGAAAGCTACCATGGGACCTCCTCCGAATTTTACTATTGAACTTATACGCCCAACGTTATAAATTAATCGATGGAGATCTTTTTGCCAATACAGAATAGGTGAAAAAGCGTCAAAAGGAGAGACAAACATTAAGACATCAAAAACTTACTGTCAAAATTAAGACTGATGGTTGCATTACTCTCTCCTAATTCGTTCTTTGCAGTGACTTTGTATTTTCCGGCATCCTCAACGGTAACGTTTTTAATTTCAAGCGTTGCAAAGTACGAATGTCCATCTTTATCTATTTTCAACTGAAATTCAATTAACCAACATTAATCAATCTCATTTGTTATTAGGGACATATACATATGTTAATGGATCCTTTTAATTCCACTGCCCAGTTGTGTATATAGTGGATTTTAGGTAATGTTAGGGGCCATAACGTATTTTCAAAATTACACTGTTTTTTCGTATTTTGAAAGTACAAATGATGGTTATCGGGGGTATATTTAGAAGTAGAGAGTTACGGTACCTTATGACGTGGTGATTCGGCAACGAGATTAGTATTATGAAACCAGGTCACGACGGGTCGGGGATCTGCCTGAATGCGACATTCAAACAACAACCTCTTCCCATCTTCCTCTTGTCGAATGGATGGTTTTTTTGCAAAAGTTGGGGCAAGACCATCTATTTGTCTGTTCAAAAATTGAAGCGTCAATTCAATATTAATGGAAACGAGGGTTTCTAAACCAACACAAAAAAAACTTACTTTTCACGCGGTTCGTCCATAGCTGAAACAATAAGTTACAGGAATAAAGATCTATGGACCGTCATTTAACATGCAACTTACGGCTAAAATTCAAATTAATTGACGCCGCCACTTCACCCATCTTGTTTTTGGCTTTGACCTTGTAAAGGCCCGCGTCTGTTTCGATAACATCGTCTAGTTCCAGTACCACCAAGAATTTGTTGCTGCCCACAGATTGTATCCTGAACACTGTCCGAGAGTCCTCTGTAAGCAGCTCGTCGCTTCGAAACCATTGGATATCAGGCTTTGGTGATGATAACAGTTGACATTCAAATATAAGTTTATTGCCATCGTCTTCTTGTCGAAGCTGAGGCTTTTGTGTAAAACTGGGAGCAAAATCTTCTGCCACCCCCATGATTTAAGCGTTTTCAACTCGGTATCATCGACGTTAACTCGGCCCTACAAATATTTACAATTGTTCATGTGGTCCAATTTAAAAGACACCTTAATTTGAACAGAAAGGCCGTAGAATTATTGACATAATTTTGAAGGTCGATTTTCGCTCGCCGCGGAAAGTGTGCTGAGATAAAATTACCTCTAAAATGAATCACCTTTTCGGCCTGGTCACTAACAGCCAAGAAATATTTTTGAGCTATTACGTTCGCAAGCGAAAACTATTATTAAATCGAGTTGTATTAAAAACCTTCAGGTGCCTTTCAGCAAAAATTGGATGTATATATATCCTTTGATTATCCTTATTGGAACTACACTAAATTATCAATCACATCAACACTGATGCACACAAGTGGTCGTCCTTTGAAAGTGATCCCCGAACTTACTTCTGCAGAGGGAAGAAAAAGCACTACCACTTCACTGTACACTTTTTTTCGAAATTCGCGTGTACACCACAGTGGCCGTCCCGTCACACAGGCACGCCGTCGAGTCGTTCGTGCTATCCTAGAGGTTGCTTGGTCAATCCCTAAAGCAATGACTAAAGAAATTTAATGTACACCCCAAATCTAAATCAGACCGTAACTTGCCCCTCCAAAAATCGAGTACCCCACTCTTTTTGTTCCTTCGCGGGCGCGACGCTTTAACAAAATGCCGCCACCAACGCTCATATAATTTGTTGCTCATCGATAATGACTAATAGAAATGTGACATATTATTATTTCCTTGCAGATCGTTGCATTCTTGGCAAAATGCACGACCCGAATCATTGTTTTTTATTTTGGACCTAGCAAACATTCCACGCGCTGATTCAAAGCGTTGCAGATATTTAGGCCAAGTTCGGTTTTCACAAGAAAATCTATTTATACGAATGTTACCACTTAACAAATCATAGGAATACTTTGACAAAACGAAACACTAGTGACCCAATTCTGCCTTTTTGGTTTTAGGTGTTCCTGCACTTGAGTCAAATTCTAAAACGGTTATTTATTGCTGTATGTGGGTAGGAATAAGTGTTGCGTTCCCGTGTTGACAGATTAGGTGCAGGCCAGAGTATCGAATTAAGAAAAACATTGCCGAGACAAGTGATGTTTCAACATCTTCAGTGGGTTGGGATGTTTTTAAATAAATGAGAAAAACCGAGTTGGGCCTTACTTACAGGTATAAAACTTATTTTTAAAATGTAAAGTGCTATCAACTTGTTCTAAACATGAATGTATCAGTTATTTTTAGTAAACAACATGATTGGACGGTGTCTCTTTCAAAAATAGACTAACACATGGAAGTTTGTCAGCAAATTCGTGTTTACCAAGTTACACAGTAGCTTTTGAACTCGCTTGTTCATTACCATTAATTATAAAAGTTACGTGGCCGCATTGTAATTCAACTTTATGCATATATGAATAAGACTTTGGAACGTATTCAATGATAAAATTTAGTTAAATGATCGATGTTCAGAGTTATTTATATGTTCATGCTAAGAACCTGCTTCAAATCCTCGCCGAGAAAATTTGGAGCGCCTAGTAGAAGAGAAAGTGGAAATATTTTGGTGTCTATAGATATTGTCCAATTCAATAGTATTAAGAATTATATTTATATATACAGATATCTGTGTGAATATTCTACAAATACCCACAGTACAACTATTTTTAGATGGCAGCGATGGAAAAGTGGTGTAAGCTTACACATACAACAGTTTCATGCCAAGCCTTATAGGGCGGCGCGTTGCGTCCGCTAAATTTGTTCGCCTGACGCTTTTTCAACGCAAGCGCATATAACAATACCGCTGAAAACGTCGTCAATGTGATCACAATCACGCTGCATCCAATAAACTAAAATTTTGAAACTTTTGCTCCAACGAAAACTTGTACACACACCTTTAAAGCTCACTTCTCCCTCCTGTCACTAGTTGAACTTGTCTACATTCCGCTAGTGTTTTGAAATTCTCGAAACCCACATTGCTGCGAAATGGGCTCCCCATAAACACCTGATACATCTCAGCCGAGAAATTAATCAACTTATTTTAAAGTTTTCACCATCTCCCGCGCAGTTCAGTTTACCTATAAACTAAATTTCGAAGTATCCATCGAGGTATATTTAGTGTTCTATTTTAAACAATAACACGGTACTAAAGCTCAGTCGTCATAATTTACTACTGTTGTTATTATATGATTTGTAAACAGACACCGTTTCACGATTTTTCGTTTTTCAGTTCACAATTCGTTGCTACTATATATAGTAGTGGTGTAGCGACATTTTCTTTCCTTCAATGGACCTTTTAATTCATTCAATACTGCCTCATCCAGTACAACCATGCCACGAACGATAATACTTTTAGATTGACTGAAAGATATCTTTGGACTGGCGCCCATCTGAAAAAAGGTGAACAGAATTTTTTTAAATAAAACTGGGTGTCATGTTTCACAAGACCTATGCACGTTGACGCTAGTTAGGAGTGCTCGACAGATGTGCTTAACCGAATACCCTAAAGATTCAATCTGGAAAGATGGACATGAAGAATTCCCAGTAATATAGTTGGTCGATGGACCCCACCCTACTAAGGGTTAAGAAATTGTACTGATCTGCAGTTACTGCGATATTTATAAGGGAGCAGCGGCCGATTTGAATTTCTCTTTGCATGGAATAAATCGGCACTCCAACCCCTCTCCCAAAATGGCTCTTCTTTCTGGGCATGCCGTAAAAGAAAAATGTTTTTCTAGCGGAAAACCAAACCCATACTTAGCCCTTAACTGCAAAAACGTATATAGCACCTTAGGTAAGCAATGTATCAGCATTATTGAACAATGTACTTTCAAAATTGCTGGTGTCAATGTTACATTCGAATGTGGGTAATATTTTGGAGGAAATGATTTATTAGTTAACACTTTGGTATTAGTCTTGACAAAACCACAGCTGGTGCGTCACCTTCTAAGAGTTGTAATGAAAATAAACCTAAGCAAAATATCTGCACTAAGTTGCACAGGGACGGATTAGTGGAACTTTGGACATTCCCTTGGGCACTACCCTATATACGCTCATAAATTTCTACACGCCCATTTTTTAAAATTAAATAGGATCTCCCTCATGAAAAATGTTCCCATATAGGCTCTAAGGAAAATTTACTCTATCGTTATGTCTACGGAAACGTAACAATGCGTCTATTGTACTACCATAACTCTTACTAGAACTAGGAATTTGACGGTGCTCTATATCTTGTATTCATTGTGTATAGTAAATCTTACATTACCCTCCTGAGCTTTCGGCCTTAAGGAATATTCTCTCCTGCACGATTCACGTTCGATCCCGAGCTTCTCCTTTTGGAATAACTGATTCGCTCCAAATTATCTCGCCACCAACTAAATTCGTTCACCATTTCGTTCGCATTTTACCCTTAAAACAACAATCATCCCAGAAATATTCGTCATTGAAATATTTGCATCAGTATATTACGGTAGGTAATAGTTACAAACACCAAATGTTATTTTGATACCTATAGACATTGACGTTTAGTCGTTTTTCAACAAAATCGTAAATTATCAGTGTATTCGAGCTTTGGTTACTATGAAATCTCGGATTATAGTCGATACCAAATTTGACTGGCCAAATTTCTACATTCAGCGACATGCAGATCTAAAAATTTGCAGTGGCTAGCACAGATACCACTTGAACCGCTTTAGAGTTACAAACTATTATTAATATACTGGCAAATAAACCTGGGATATTATTTATGAAGTCAGAAAATTATTTTTAATGATTTGCGCAATCACGATTTTGACTAATTGTATTTCCGTTCTTAGTAGTCTCTGTAGAACATATGTACCTAATTTAATTCAATTCGATACAATTGTTTAGCGTGGGGGTGGCAAAAATGTACACCAGCGCCGTTTCCCGGACCGTAGTAACTTGCATTGGACTCTCTTAGGGACGAATTTTATGGCGGTTGGAATCTACGCAGGGTGCTAACTCTCCACAGGCGAATCTTCCGGGAAGGAGAGGGAAAATTTTTCGATGCACCCATAAGTTGATTTATAAATTGCTAACGTCATTCACTGTAGAGACACCAAAAAAACTATTAACCAGTACCTAAATCCAGATCACCGAATTGTAGGTTCTCGCGAGATAGATCTGAACTCGGGATGAAAATTTCCAGTTGAAAATCTTTCTGGGACTAAGTTACGGGTGGATGAGTTTTTTTTGTTTCTTTGAGGTGGGATTTTCCAACAATTAATGTACACCCAGTGATTAATTTGTATAAAATTTTAATTCTTTGAATGTTCGCAAAAAAGGGAATGTTAAAAGGATCATACCCCAGGACTCAAAGTTCAGCTAATCAGTCCATGGGACAGCTTCACTACAGGAATAAATCCACTGCTCCATTTTTGCGAATACTTTTTTCGCCGAATTAGTTCCTCAAATACATTTTTACGTCATCATCCACTGCAGTGGTGCGAGTTTTCCGAAAGCAAAGTCTTCTCGAGTAACCCCTCAACGTCCCCAATACAGTAGGTACGGGAGCGCGTAATAAAATTCGAAACCCCCAATGGTTAGTCGGTTTAAGGAAGTAGAAAAATCGAGGATTTCACTCTACTATGGGGGTGGTCCCCCGGTACCGACAAAAGTAAGAAAATTGTGCTTCTTCATGAGTGGAAAGAGGATGCAATCTCGCGTATTTTTTACGGTTCCTATTGAATCTTCGAGAAATGAGTTTTTTACGTACAGCTTTCAATACTCCCAGTGATTAAACGAAGCACGGTCAAGGAAAACCTCAAACTTCCAGTGGATGCCAAAACCGGGCTATATTGAAGAATAGAATCGCCGTAAAAAGTATTGGCGGTGGAAATAGTTAACTTCTTTCTAATGATGAATTCATTACCATCTCCTTTCCTTACCATCTACCTATACTTAGGAAACACTCACTTTTACACATACACGAATTATTTTTTTAGTTGTTGCATTCTAATCCTGTAGGGGAGTACAGAAAACCACAGTCGTCCTACAAAGGGTGTAGATCATTCGTTCCTCTATTCCAGTTTTCACGGACAAAATTAGGACAAAGACTGACGAGTGGTCGTTTCCTTGAAATAAATTTGCATTTGTGTTCACCCCAAACTTGCAAAGCGTTCCATAAATAATATTCTTGGAAATCCACTTTTAAACGACATTTCTCAATGAAACCCGCTTATAAACATGGGACACTAGGTATGCGCTCCAGTAAATATTTATGATACACATTTAGAATTAACTTCAAGGGAAAGTTATTTCACAATGCAAATCATTCGAAATAAGTATTAGGTTAGTAAAAAAATCGACTGCTATTTCCATTTTGTGCACCCTTGCATATTATTAAAAAATATGTCAACTGCATCCCATAAATGTCCTAACAAGTATTGATCTCAGGAATATTTGCAAAGAATATGTGGCGAAAACTTTCTTCGGTATTTTCATAAACACATAATTAGTCTATTTATATCCCTCGAGCTGTATTGGACCACCTAAAGCGAAGTAGGTAACGGAGATATTTGGATCTGAGCATTCGGGACAATGCAGCC